TGTTAGTTCTTACAGGTAACAATTGTTCATGTAACAGATAACTTCCAAGCTTTGGTATGCGTCCCTACACACTTGTGTCATAGTACTCTGTGTGTGTGTGTGTGTGTGTGTGTATACAGGGACAACAATTGTAATTGACAGTTTGTAAATATTGGAGAAATGAGTCAGCATGAGAGCATTTCCTCCTGTATTGCTCTGAGAGTAGGTTGCCTTTGGGAACAATCTTGGTGAATGTAGGGGAAGAACGAAGAGCGAAGGGGAAATTCAGACTGCTCTAGACAAATGGTGTATGCAGCCCAAGGAAGCCCAGTTTACCCCAGGAACATCTGGAGGCACCCAAAATCTTTCTGTTACCTTCTGCTTGAATACACCGTGGATGCCTATTGCTAGATCACTATACAGTTCATTGCGCCATGGGTTTCTGATGTTACTGGCCTGGATGTCTGGCTGTATTTGAGGCATCAAGAGTCATCCTTAGGACAAAGATGTGTGCTAGCTTATGATAAACTCGAAACCAAAATCAAATGTTTAATCAAAATCAAATGCATTGTTTTATTTTATATTTCAAGGCAATCTCAAGGCTTACACACTCCTTAGGTACAGATACAAAAACAGAGAAGATGGCATCACGTTCTTTCAGCTCAAAAGCAGATAGAATAGTCTGCAATGAATCATGGGCTCCCTCCCTCTCCATCTGCGGGTATCAAAAGCATCCCATTTCAACAAGCCCTAATCTAGGGATGAAATGGGGATGCCAACTTTAAAAACAAACAAACTGAACTTCAATGTAGTATTGAAGTAAAGTTGAGTACAAACTGGAAATACTTTGGAAGTCAATTGTAAATATTTCTATATAATTATTGGAAAAGAAATTAATATGTCAATTTGATAGATATGTTTGAATAATACAACATTAATAGAATATAAAATTACAAAAACAAACAAACAAACAATCTGTGAATGAGCCAGAAAACATAATGAATGGTCTACTCTGAGGAACTATGGAATCCGGTGTGTGGAAGAGAGTAATGGCTATGGACAAGGCGCCCTTTGGGTCAGCGTGGGATGATGGAGAGCTGGTAGAAGGGTGGGATAGTTGCTAAGCCACTCTCCATAGGAGTTGTGTCAATATCCTCAGGGGGGATGAGGGACTTCAGCTGGAAACTCTGCAGGATGGTGGTGAAGAGGATGAAAAGCTCCATACGGGCCAAAGCTTCTCCCAAACAGAGCCGTTTCCCTGCAAGCAAAAAAGGAGACTCATCAAGTGGGGAGGACATAAATAGATTTCAATGGGGCATCTACTGATAGGTGAGGCCTTTGCTGTACAATCACCTGCCTCACTCATAAAACCTTGGTGGTCTGTAAACTTTCTCGCATGACCAGCTATCTCAAGCAGGTTTTGACTATTACCTGACTTTATTATGGGTCTGGGGCTGGTCTGAACGACTTTTCTGGGGATCCTGTCAGCCCAGTGCCTGACTGACTGCAAAAAGTTTGAAGATTCTGGCAGAAAGGACTGCTCTCTGTTCCAACAACCAC